TTGGGGTGAATGTTTTACTTGAGAATCTTAATCATGAAATAAAGAACATTTTCCAATACGTTAGATGAATTTCAGTAAAGTAAAAGATAGGAATATTTCGGAAAATAGAGCGTCTTATTTTCAGGTTTGAATGACCCTTGAAACTTATCTTAAGCAAACACACCGAATTTATATTACTTTGTAACCTGTTGATGGTCCGCAACTGCATATTTTGCTTAAGAATCACACCTTCTCAAAGGCAAACACCTTATCGCTGTACTCAGTTCACGCCGCAAAGCCGACCATTGAATTTTAATTATCTCACTTCTTGCGCGTTCCCTCGTTCTCGTTCGGGATGGCATTGTCGCCAGGGGAGAAGATAATTGACCAAGAACAATCGCCGGGAGAAAATTGCTACAATTGCTGGTCAGAACTACACTAATTGTGCGGCTAAAGACACAGGAAATGGCCGGAGAGTTGAAATATTTCACGTACATGATTATTAATTACAGTGATCGAAGACACACGTGTTGAGGCGATCGCGCGATTGGAAGAGCTGATCGCGCGCGCTATTTTATTGGCATTCCTAGAGAGATGAGCTCGTGCTGGACACGCGATGCTCTACGAGAGATCAGCCAAGTGTCTACTTATGCGCGCATTCCACACGGACATTCGATCTTCCAGCACAGGAGTCGTCTTTCGCGTGAGTCAGATTGAGGCCAGAGAGGGAGTTTGATATGTGGGTCACTCTGTGGTTTTGTTGAAATCAGATGAAGCCACACACATTCATTACAGCCCCAATATTATCAATTTCAATGCAGACCCTCCGCAATTCATGCTGTGCTGAGATCATCTTTCAGAAGTCTGCAGACGGATTTACCTAATTGCGGAGTCACTTTTCGTGCAAACTCTTGAATGCCAACATGTGGAATCGCGACAGAAGGTTGAGATTTTCTGAGATCCCGAGTGTCAAAATATAGACACACGTGTGGCTCACGACATTTGCTTAAAACACTTTACAATCAAATGTTTTTTTTGCATCAGAAAGGTACTGTTAAGTAAAGACTATAAAGCCTCTAAAGATTATTATTGTAATGCTCGAAATTGAGAGACTAGAAGCTTTGTTCTACTTTACTAAACTCGTTTCATAATCTCTAAATATCTTGTAATTTGTGAAAAATTTGCAGAAGCCACAAAGTATTCAATTAACCAATTTATAGATATTTGTCTTTATTTATAAGATATGAATTTAAAGTTGCATAGTATCGTAAGTTTGCTGAGAATCACGCCGTATGATGTAATTTATTGAGACAATTTATCCGATTTTAGATTGTATACAAAGCCAACTAAACCCTAATTTATTTTCCTTCTCACAGCTGGATGATTTGACGATTATGGCATATACTCTTTAACTGTCATCTAACTTGTTCTGGACATCAACAAATTTGGATTACGGGCAGCAAAGTGTAAACACACTCTCCGTGAAAGTCCAAAAGCAGTGGCAATTTGTGGGCACCTTAAAAGAGTCACCAAGAGAAAATTATGGGCAATTTGGCCGGACTTTTCCGTTCCCACGGTTTTCTCGCTGCCTCCATCATCATTATCTCCGGCTGCGCGGATCTCCTGGCGGGGGATCAGCTGCCGTCTGGTTTTTGCTGCGCGCGCAGCCATTCATTCACCAAATTGCTGCATGAGCGGCAATTGAGGAAGAGTTGTGACAAGTTCAGCGGGAGATTATCTGACCATCTCATCGTTCACGCATCCCAATTAATCGGCTGCCACAACTGCCGATCGGCGGCTAGACATGCCGATAGGCGCGAGATCATATTGCGCGGGCGCTCAATGTTTGGCGCGGCGAAGAGTTAATTTTGAGCACGAAAAACACACACAAACGCCGTTGCGAATAATCAAGTCTTCCCAGATGATGGCAAAGAGGCGAAAGACATGGATGGAACAAATGATGCAAGAAGCTGCGAGGAGGCGAGGCTCCAAAAAGTGCCTGCACGATTTTTAAAATATTGTGGACGACGCGCACATGGCCAAATTTCTCGTGAGAAAAAGGACAGATGTGATTTGGATTTTGGTCTGAAATTCCTCCTCAAGTTTTATATAACAAGTCGTGGCGTCCCTCAAACAATAATAATAATGTATAGAGACGACTTGGACCCTAATTCCTGTTCACTCTTCCTTCTCTCCTCTTTGTGGCCATTCCTTCTTGCCCTCTCTCACTCTCGCTTCTTCGCAATCTCAGCTATTTCCACTTCAGCATTAATTCATTCGCCCCGTGTTGACAATCCGCAGCCAAAAAAGGGATCTCAATTGATGCTGAAAGGAAGGGACGCCAATTTTGACTCGATGCTGAGGAATTCTGTCATGAGGGCACAAGACGGTCACACGATCATGGTGAAGAGCTCTGCTGATACAATTAAATACTTAATATGCTTCATTAGGCCTCGTCAAGGGGAAATGCGACGTCAGCAATCTTGCCATTGACTCAATTTAAATTGCTCCATATATGAACTCACCCTCAACATCAGAAGATCGCTTTTTAGTGTGTTTTCTGAGAATGTTTTTCGTGCCATCATCGCAAGTCTTTTCATCTTCTAATAGGGCAATTATTGAATTCTATTTCACGATCATCAATAAATTCCTTCACTTCTTTTGTGTCCAGTTTTTGGGGTTCTTTTCATGCCCAAAAATGGGAAATTCATTTTTCACCTCGCCATTGAAACTGAGATGAAAAATCACAAAAAGCACCCAAGTTGGAAAGATAAAAAAAATCACCAATAAATAGTCGCATTAGTTGATGCACAGCAATAAATAGCATTTCTATTATCAACAAATATTTCAATGCCTTTGACTTGCATTGAGTGATTTTTGTGTGTCCCAATTTCTGCACTCAATGGCAACACAAAAACGACAAATAATTGACGTTTATGAAGTGTGTATTGACCAATTGATGCTAAAGAATTAAAGCATTTTTGCCTTCTCATTCTTTTCTTCTTTCTCGAAAACTAAGAGCAAAAAAAAACGTGTGTTTCTTTTGAAATGTCTAAAAAAAAATGGTGAAAAAATGCAAAAGACTTCAGCAAGAATGACATCAATTGGGTAAAAATCTCCTCTTTCTCTCGAGGATGTGTTTGAGGAATCAATGAGGATCCTTTTCTATTTGAAAAGCATTTCTGGCTGAAGCGACGCCTGAAATAACAAATTCCATTCAGGCGTGGTGAGAGTTTCATCTTTTTGACATAACACACCAAAAATCAATTTGGCAATAATTTGGTGCAAAAGAGTCCTTTCTTCTCGGCCGAAATCACCCCAAAAAACACACCCAGAAGGATGCTTGACGCTCGACAAGAGCAGGTACCGATAGAAAAAACCAAATAAATTGCTCATAATTATACACATTTCACATTAGAGATGAGCACGAAATTTTCTCTTTGACACTCCAGAGGCAAAAAGGTATTATTTATTTTGGAGTTTTTTTTTTCGTCTACACAAATCCTTCAGGGACGCCCAAAAGCAATCAGTCTTTGATAGGATCTCTGGGAGAGTTGATGGTCAAATAATAAATAAGAGTCCTTAATTGCACATTTTGCGCTCGACTGAGGGTTGAATGATGAATTTCCATAGGCGTTCGGACAGGGGTTTGATGGCCAGAACCACCCTGAAAGTGTCCCTCAGTCGTAGGTAAACGCCTAAGATGGTACTCAAAAGCACCCCTTAATTACCCACCGAAAGTGAAGCGTGTCCGAGAGATTTACGCAGCATCATTTCGCCAAAGAGGATTATGCCATTAAACAGCGATCAAATCTACCTGTTGTGATTGTTTCACAACATTTCAGCCCCCCCAGAGTTGTGTTGAAACTAGATGAGCGTTTGATGGGATTTTGCAGTGCATTTTCAGATCATTATCACGTCAATTACATTAGATTTGGTCTGTATTGTGCCGATTTTGCCACAAGGCGAAGAGTAAAAAATCAAAGAAAACCCTTAAAGATGCAAGAATTATGATAACAAAATGCCTCTGCAGATTAGGAAAACCCTTTCTCTACATATTTGCACTCATCTTCAGACGCCTGTGAAGACTCTCAAGTTGACCAACAAAGCGGATCACAGGAAGAGACGAGCGGTCAAGAGGATTCTGCATGGCGACAACAAGGCCCAAAGTCAAGTGGTTCTTTGGCGAAGACATTAACACCCTCGCGCCTGTGTTTACTTTGGGGATTCGTGGAAGTTCCTCTTGAAATTCAATGTCTCATTTGTTGTCTAATTGTCCTCTTCCTCTCGAACTGGCGCCGGGACAAATATTCCACCAGGAACATCCCAAATAAAGGCTTCCAATCTCATTACAGATTCCCTCAGCCAGTTTGCCCATCGGAATTTAACCGTGTATCTGAAGGTTTATCTCAAGGGGAGATGATATGATTGAAATCTGTACACTATATAGACTAATTGATTTTTTGCTTTCAATTTGAAAATATGACACTCTTGAAATTCCTCTCGAAACTCTGGATTTTATTGTGCTGCTTGATAAATCTGTACAGGAATTCAAAGCATAACTACTTTCGCGAAGCTGTACACCATTTCTGGCCCTAATGTTTCTCCGTTGACTCGCCTGTTGATCACATTTTTTGCCTGCCCACCGCGTGGCCTGTCCTATAAGCGTCCAACTCGAAATATCTTCCCAATTGAGTGCACGTGTTCAAATGGTGGGTTTTAAAATCCCTGCAGGGTTCCGGAGAATACATTACGCTTCTTCATGCCATGTCTCGGTTGATGTTGAGCGGTCGCTCGGTAACACAATACCCCAAATTCCAAGCGAAGATGGTCAGGAGGAGGACAAAAAAGCGAAAGGAATAAGTGTTGCCAGCTACCTGAGGCGCGCGAAGGTTGGGTCGAAAAGAGAAGATTGGAAGAGAAGAGATTGAATCTTTCGATATACATTTTTTTGTTTATTGTCGCTTGTAAAAAGCAGAATACATATAAAGTGGAAGATCATTAGTGGCTTATCTCTCGTTATTAAAGCTCAATGCGATCACATGACTTAAAGATATGCGGTGGGGTTTATCACAATGCCAGCGCGGAAGACGGTGGATTTGCTGAGGGTTCTCATATCGCGGACCTAGGCCTGCACCCAGCGGTCTTGCAGTTGCGGCTGCTGGAAGTGGGAGCAGCAGTAGGTGGGCTGGATGAGGTCGCAGTCCGCCTCCTTGGCCATGGTGGTCCAGAAGAAGGTGCCGGCGTCGGTGCGCGCAAAGTGCACCGGCACGAACTGCTGATCGCGGCTCACCGGCTGCAGGCGGCAGTCGCCGTCGTCGTACACGTACACTGCGGCGTCGCTCTCGCATTGCGCGATCTCCTGCAGGATGCGCGCTTCCAGCGCCTCGTTGGCGGCATTGTCGTCGCACGGCGCGTAGAAGTCAAAGTCGTGGCTGTGGCAGGACTTGCCCAGCGGCTTGGGCTGCGTCAGCAGCTTCAGCAGTGGTTTCAGCAGCTTCTTCACGCGGTGCACGGCGGACTTGGCCTTCTTCGCGTTGTACGTGTTGTCGTTGATGCTGTTGTTGCTGGCGATGATAAAGTCGCTCTGGTGAATCATGGCTGGGCACGCGGGATGCACTGGGATAGCACAGGAATGCACGGGATGCTTGCTGAACAACTGTCTGTTCGAGTGTGAGTCGAAGCACGGCGGCGCAGTGCCTTTTATAGGGCCGAGGGTGAAATGCTGTGCCCCAGTCGCCGAGTCCTCCTATCAGGGCTCGTCGTAAGGGCAGGTGTTCATCGTTGACGCTCACCATCCCGCTCTGGCGCGCGCCGCTCGCCTCTCGGCGCGACAGAGATGGGCGAGCATGTGTGTCGAAAAATGGTGTGTATTTTTTAATGCCACACTGCGTATGAAGGCTCAATCGTGGGAACTTCAATCTCTTCCAAGTTCCCACCGAATTTCGAGGGCAGATGGCAAGCGAGGGTGCCTGATATGGAGATTGTACACAGAAGAGTCCTATTTGCCCGATTATGGGATGATTCGTAGGCGAAATTCAGGACGGGGTGTTTTTATCGTCACTCCTTCACTCTCTCTCATCATCTATTTTTGGGTCTAGACACTCTGCCATCACAGAGTCTCCCTCCCTAAGGGGTCGAGAGAGAGAGAGCATCAAGTGAGTAATCCCAACCCCTCGAATCCTCAAGGGGTGCGTACAGAACGTGTTGTTCCCTCATTGCAGTGATTCGAGGGGTGCGAGAATGCCAGGTATTCTGCCTGCAGTTCCGGGGAAAAAATCACAGAACAAGTGCATAATTTACGGAGGGTCGTTTCACCTGAACTGGCGCGCAACAGGTTTCTCACGGCCATCGCGACTCCCGCACTGCAAGAGATCATCCAGCGCCGCTTAATTGAACCACGCGTCAGTCGCGAGTATAACTCGTGTTGTCATATTTTTTTGTGCGCTCCCGATCCGGAAGGCGCGACTTGGCGTTCGCGAAGGCGGATGCCACGGTCAAGAACAATCATGTGTGGCGGCACGGTGAAAATTTCTGGGAATTTTTCCCACCTTTCTTCCAACAAACTCTTTCACCGCACCAAGTTCGCGTGGGAACTTATCAGGCATTCCCGCCAAGAACAGAGAGACTGCGACGATCCATTGTGTGCAAATGAGATGATATATCTAATTACCACACGAGAGACACTGCCTCATAATCAATGTGATTACTCTCCTGGAACATGGCGAAGAGTGGAGCAGAAGAAGTCAAAATCAGAGTCTCTCAAATTGCAACACGGGCTGAAACACATTCGGACCAAGAAGAAACGCAATAAAACATGAAAAATCCTGTTTGCTACTTGTTGCTGGGCTCACGAAAAATGTCTGAAGGAGCCAAGCGAAGAGAGGTAGCAAAAAAGAAGCGACCCAAAGTGATGGTAAAAAGACATCGCGCGCAGAGAAGTGACTGAGAATCCATTGGCAAAAGGCCGTGAATTGATTCTTTTGTTGCGGAAATTATGCACAGATGTTTCTAAATTGCCCACAGAAAGCTTGTTCTTCATCTCAAAGCAAGAGATAGAGAGAGAGAAATCCGCACGACCGCCTAAATGGACGCTAATTTGCAATTTGATAAGATTACAGAGGAGCAAGAGCTTCAGCGGATGATGGAGAATTAATTGATTGCCCCTGAGCCATTCCAGTGTTGGCAAAACATCACGTCCTCAGCGACAATCGCTAAGCAGCCCCGCGGCAGTCGCCGGGCAAAAGTGAACGTGAAAGGATGCCACGAACGTGACATCATCCGGCCAGGACGGGATCATGCGGAGAAGTGCAGCAAATCCTCGAAGAAGGGTCAAAGAGTGGCCCTGAAGAATGGTCAGAATCAATTGTTCCGCTGCAGATGCTTCACTGCTATTGAGTCGCGCTGATCCTTTACCCATTTTTTTATTCACCCACATCCTTTCCTTTTTCACAATTCACAATCGATTTGGCCCCCGAAAAAAGGCCTCGCAACTCATAGATCAATCGACATGGTTAGAAGAATCGCCCTTCGAGCGAAATGCTTTGGGTTGGCTTTATTATGCTGCACTTCTGGGAGATTGAAAGGACTGCATAAAAGGCTTGGGCCTCCTCAGGAGCCACTATGATGCCGGGGTGAAAAAAGTAAATTAACTGTTTGCTCAATAACAAGAAAGAGAGATGAGAATAGGAAAGTGAAGTAACTGAAGCCATTGTTGAGACTAGCATTGATACAGGACACAGTAATGTATCCTTCAGGCTCCTTGAGGCGAAAGAGATCCTTGGAGAACATCTTCATAACACATTGCACAACATTACATGTACAAGATTGTGCTCTCATTCGCATTCTTATGGTGAAAACACAGCATTTGTAATTTGTAATTTGTCCACGATCATCTCTTTCTTCCCCTCGCGTTTCGTGTATTTTCTTTCCTACTCTGTCAGCGTCCGACTCTGACATGTCGAGACAGCCACTGTGCGAGTAGGAAGGAAAATACACGAAACGCGTGGGGAAGAAAGAGATGATCGTGGACAAATTACAAATTACAAATGCTGTGTTTTCACCATTACGAGCGAAGACAAAATTAAGAAATTGTGTGCTCAAGAGTTTTAAACGCACATAAACACTTGTGGAACGACTTTTGCGTGCTCATGCAATTGTTTAGTTTTACGGCGCAAAATTTATGAGAAAATGAGTTTGTGCCAAACGAGGTGAAAAAAAATATGCTTCTTCATGGAATCCTTGTGAGGAAAGAAGGACGAATTCGTGATATTCAGCTTAGATCATCAGTTATTTGCTGGTATTTTGGGTGTGTAAATAATGTAAATTTCTACCATATCTCGAGATCAGGCTGAGTTTTGACCCGGAAAAGGTCGTAAAGTTGAAACATTGTCGGTTTACCTTTCTGGAAAAATATTTATGTAGAAATAGCGATAAGAAGGAATTCAATGTTTTCAGAGACTTCTTTCTTTCCTCCGCAGGACGCGCCAACAAAAAAATCCTTTACCTGTTAATATCGAGAGACACGTCAAGGAATTCCCATTAATTTGGGGATTTTTTTTCCCCAGCTAAATTACGGGCGAGGGTTAGAGCAGGCCAAAGAGTTAATGCGATGACTTCCCTATCATTTAATGAAGTGGAATTTGAGTGTTATTTTTATGGTGGAAGTGCCGGAGAGCATCAAGAATGAGTAATAATGGATCTTCTTCGCTCGCATCATTCTTTCTGGTTGATGCCTTGCGTCGTGGGCTATTTGAACACGTGCACATCATCAGATATATGATGCTTTTTTCTTACCCCGAAATCCCGTGGTCAGAATCTTCGGGGTATTTATTTTCTTCTCCTTTTCTTTGTTCCTGCGGATTTGCGGCCTTCCTTTGGCCAGAAAGATGGAAGGAAGAGGGAGAGAGAGAGAGAGATGTTGTGTGAGTCATTAAAATGATTCTCACTTGGACTATTTGTAGGCAAACATGGGTGGAGAATTAAATCCTTAGAGGATATCTAATTGGGAAATGATGTTGAGGAATTGTGCGATGGGATAATGAGGAGTTCTTCGGCTGTTGCACAACAAAGGAAAGACGATCCGCCCGAGGGTGAATTGAGACAGGTATATGTGAAATCAGTGAAATGCATTTCCTGTCCTTCAAAAGTGTGCTTTTGCAATTTTCCTCACATGCAATTCACGCTAATCCCATGGTGAATTGGAGGGACACAAAATCGCTCAGGTATGAGGTAGAAAATTGAGCAGGAAACACCCACAATTCTGTGTTTGGTCCGCGTGAGATAAGATAACATCATTGTCAATGGGGGTCATGTTGAAGTGAGGCACAGAATGGATAAGGATTCCGACGGGGATCATAAATTCCAGTGTCGACAGGAAATGTGCTCTTTTCTTCGGTCTCATCACAATAGCTTCACCCTCTTCAGTACTATAATTTTCCTGCTATTGCGAGATTTGAGCCTGATTGATTGTATCTCTTCTGGATTTCAACTCGCATTTCACGGACTGTGAAGCACTACAAATGATTGAGACTCTCCTTATTCTGTCCATCAAACCTGGGGAGAAATCGAGCACTTTGCCGATCTCTTGGTGACAAAATGCCGTGGCCTTTTTGTCACGCCATCAAGAGATTCGTTTAAAATTCTAGTCACATTAAACCCACCACCAATCATCAACGACTTTTATCCCTTCGTCTTTTGTGTGCTCAGTTTATGAATTTAGTGAGGAAGATCTTCTTCTGATGGCATTCTTCACACACAGAGAGATTGGGAGTAAAAGCCACTTGTTGAGATCTCAAATTACCTCCAGTAAAACAGTCCTTTCTCATGTCCTCAAATCATCCCATTGGCGAACGACCCTCGGAAAGTTATTATGCATCTCTTCTGAGGGTTGGTTTTTTGCCGGTGCTGCGACGGAATTTCGGCTCCCACGCTCGCACTGAACACGTGCAGCGATTTTCACCCCACGTCGATGCCTTCACATGAAATTACCATTTGAGGGACACGCAAGAAAAAGGGTCTGCGGACAAAAAGAGCCAAATCCTTGTCGTGCTGTTGAAAAGGGAATTTGGAGCGTGATTTGTTATTTTAGGGTCGCCCATAGAAGTGTAAGAAGTTGAGCCCCTATTGAGGGTGTGGCTGCTCTCCCTGACCATTGTGGACGGATTTCACTGTGGGCCTAAAGGGCGAGAGAGTGATGGAATCCTTAATGCACGTGTTCCTAGAATTCTCGCCGCATGAGAAGTGACGACAAAGATGAGAGAGAAAAGAGACACCAACAATGAGGATTCATTAGGAGATCACAGAAGATCTCTCTCTCGCTGAATAAATTAATGGTTGGTGAAGGAGGTGGAAAAAAGGGATCCTTTCTTGAGAGCCAGAGAGCTATAAAAATCACACCCTCGAACCATTAACACGGCCTTTCACTCACTCATCCCTCCAATCTCTCACAATTCATCGTAAATCACAACTCATTTGTCTGGAATACGCCAGACACTCCTTTTTCCATTCGGCGGGAGAGTGGAATTTGAGTGATCCTTTTTCCTCCTTCGCCCATTAAAAGCACCCAGTCAGATCTCAAGCCGAGTGTCCCGTAACTTA